GGCCCCATAACAAAAGATTATGATTTCTTATTGGTTTAATAGCATCTATTTTGTAATTCTGGATGTACTCCGTTTTAATTGGATTTGTTAAAGGAACAAAAGGGAATAGGTGCCTTACAATTAAAATAAAATTTTAGGATTATTAGTTTAACAGACTAGAAAGGCCTTGTTCATCAACCACGTGTTCCAAACACACAAACCAGCCTGAACACAAGCAAAGGACAAAGGACTCATGTTGGAGGGGTGGTTCCAGACCCTAGAGGTGAGCTTCAGCTCCATTGCAAGCCACTGTGTTTTAAGGTTTGCTATTACAGACAGAAATTGCTTCCATTTTTCTTTTCACAGCCACCCCTCCTCTGGCCAACCAGAAAACTGGGGTTCAGAGAAGCAGTATGGTAGGGTGGGTGGATGTCCAAAGCTATTTGACAAGGGTGCTGACCACCTGGTCCCCCACTCATCATCGATAGGAGGCTTCTGAGCCTCATGAGCCTCAGTTTCCACTACTGGTAATAGTAACACAGAGGCTGGTTCTGGGGTGGGGGGTGGATGCCAAGATACAAGGGAAAAGCATGGCAGTCTTGTGAGGAGTGGGGAGAACATGGGCAGTGATGGACAGTGGGGTAGAACCTGCCAATACTGGACCCATGACCCAGAGCCTGTGCTGGGTAGAAACTCCCTACAAGCTGCAGCCTGACACCTTCGTGTACTACAATAGTTCTCAACCTTCCTAATGCTGCAACTCTTTAATACAGTTCCTCATGTTGTGGTGACCCCCAACCGTAAAGTTATTTCATTGCTACTTCTTAACTGCAATTTTGCCCCTGTTATGAATCATAATGTAAGTATCTGATATGTAGGATATCTGATATGCAACCCCCCTGAAAGGGTCATTTGACACCCCCACCTCAAGGGTCATAACATGCAGGCTGAGAACTACTGATGTACTGTGACAACCATCCTGGCCTCCTAGGCTTTTCTTCATCCTGGAAGACAAGAGACACGTGGAGGCACACACGTGTGGAGAGGCCTGCAATACATGCATTTCTGTTTGTACCCAACACATCTTGGCCCTGGATAACTAACTTGATTCACTATTTTTCTATCTATGTTAAAATGATTTCTAGAACACAAAAATAGTTTTCAAAACTTTTGTGGGTGGAAAGAGACTCAAGCACACAAATGCTTGTTGGTCAAATGTGATAGACCTTGGGTGTGACACTCTTGGGGTCAGGAATATTTTTAGTTTTTTTTTAAACAATACATATACATATATACAGAGAGAGAGAGAGAGAGAGAGAGAGAGAGAGAGATTTTAATTTGTGCATGTATGTGACATATACTGGTGGATGCCAACAGTGGGTGTTGGATCCCTTAGACCTTGAGTTACAGGTGGTTGACTACCTTGGGTCCTCTGGAAATAAGTGCTCCTAATCAAGGAACCACCTCTCCAGCCCTCTGATGGCATGTGTGGCTACAACAATGAATGTGCTGGAAGGGCTTGGTAGCATCATGGTTGGAGCTATTTTAGTTGAGTTAAACCTAGAAGAGAAGGGAGAGATGGGAGAGATCCAGAGGAAGATATGGTCTACGGTGGAAGGAGGAGGCTGGCATGGAGCAAAGAGATGGTACAGAGAACAGGAGAGACGGTCTAGGTGTTGGGAATGAATGGAGATGTTTCTAAGAGCCCCCCTTTTAGGAAACAAAAATAGAACTTCCTGTGTATAAGGTAGTTAAGATGTTGAATAAAAGATGATTATTGAATAATTACTGTACACTCAACAGAGTATAAAACAAAACAAAACACTTTTTTCAAAAAGTGCAAAAGGTAAGGTGTTTAAGATATGTTAACAAGAAAGTATTAAATGCTCATATGAGCCCAGTGCTCTTATGAGTACAGAGAGAGAGAGAGAGAGAGAGAGAGAGAGAGAGAGAGAGAGAGAAGCACCAATGGAAAAAGGATGCTAACAACACCAAGTGAGCAATCATACTCTCTGGAGAGTACACTATTGTTGTCAGCAGTTTCCTTATTCTCTACAATGTATATGAAATGTTCACACACGCTCAAACAACATGACACTTTTTTCATGTTCAGCAAATTCTGGTGACTTTTCTTACCCTGTTTGTGGTGTGTGTGTGTGTGTGTGTGTGTGTGTGTGTGTGTGTGTGTGTGTCTGTGTGTGAGAGAGAGAGAGAGAGAGAGAGAGTGTGTGTGAGTGTGTATGTGTAAGTGTGTATGTGTGTATATATGTATGTGAGTGTGTGTGTGAGTGTGTATATGTGTGTGAGTGTGTGTATGTATGTGTATGTGAGGGTGTATATGTATGAGTGTGTGTGTGTGTGTGTGTGTGTGTGTGTGTGTGTGTGTGTGTGTGTGTGTGTGAGACCTTCCTGCTGACTCTGGACAGACAGATATGACTGTTACCAAGAATGATGTGAACTATTACTATTGTGTTTAGGAAGGCCATTTTCAGATCTCTCACGTCACCCATATTGGAGCCATCTGGTCTGTTCCTTTCCAGCTGTACATGAGAACACTAGAGAACAGGTAGCGGGAGCTGTTATTTTCAGCCTGGGCCATACCACATGTCTGGGATCTACTTACTTACCTGCAGAATAGCTCAGTAAATTGTGATTTGTTAAGAAGAAGAAATGTCCTGTTTTATATGCTCAGGGGGTGTGATGGGTACTAAGTGACACCAGCTCCTGTGGACTGAGGTTAACCTGGCAGTACCATTCACCATCTCCTTACTCCCGCCTCTATCTCTGGTATGTTATGTCAGGTGTAGGCTTGGAAAACAGTCTTTGCAGACTCCTGAATGAAACCACTGCAACTTTTAAACACATACTGTTGATATCACCAGCCATATAAGAATATAACCACAACTTATAAATGTGTTTACTTGCTTTTAATCTCTAGAGTTCTCTATAGTTCAAGCTAATCATTTACTTGTTTGTTCATTTGTTTATCCATCCATTCATCTGTTTGGGGAGGGATTATACTATAGGTCAGGTCAGAAGACAGGCAGTGAATGACTAAGACAGACAGTTCTGTGGTTTTCATGAATTTCCCACTTGCTGAGCAAGTAAATCTAGAAGCCCAAGGCCATTTCCAGGGGTGTAAATGCTCTGCAGATGATAAGTTATTGTGTAAAAGAGAGTGCTGGAGTCAGGAAGCAGATATTTGTGAATGGGAATGGCTAATTTCAGAGGAAGACTGAGAAGTCCTCCCTGGGAAGGTGGCATTTGCACTGTTACTTGAAATGCATAGGAGACATCACATGGGAAGACTGGAGGAAGAACAGTCCAGGGAGAGGAGGGTGTCTCAAAGACAGATGTCTTGAGATTTAGGAGAATCCTGGGGTGTTACAGGAGATTTGAAAGCATCTGAAAGAAAAGAGAATGAGATAGGGGAAGAACGGAATATGGACAGGGCCTAACACATGGCCATAGGCGAAAGATCTAGGACTATAGTCTTTGGCTAACCACTTCCTGCTAAGATATGTGTGGCTTTGGGTATGAGTCATGGACTTTTCTTGACTCAGTTTCTTCAGATATACCAAGATCTCAGGGTATAAAAGGCATGTGGCAAGAAAGAGGCTTAGTACATGTGAGAGGTAGCTGCCTGCCCAGGGGCAGGCATGCATGTGTCTGGCTGATAGCTGGCTGCTGTAGAGACAGGAATGGGGGAAGTGGGGCATATAAAGACAGAACAGGGTAGTGGTAGAGGAAGGTAATATGTACCCAGAGGTGGGTTTGGTATCTGTTGATGGAGCCTTGGCGGCCTTGGCATTTACTATTTATTTCTCTTTTTTAATGGGGTATATGTCTGGATGCTTTGTGAGCCTCATCTTCTTCACAGAAGAAACACCAAGGCTTGGCAGTCTGTCCTTTATCAGGCCCATACTACCAACTTAGAGCCGGCATCTCTTATTTCCTTGTGCTGTGAACCTAGCTGTCATTTGGCTTGTCCATGGATGTTTGACTTTACAGTGCCCTGCAATGCATTTGGCTTTCTGGGCCAACAGGCAAGCTCCTGATGCATTATTCTCTCTAGGAGCTGGAGTTTGTCCTGACTAGGGCAAGGCCTATCCCTATAGCTAATCCTATACTGAAAAGAAGGCATGTGTGGGTCACAGATCCAGCCATGGTATTTGACAAGTCTCATTACCTGAGACTGACAGAGAGCTGGGAAATGTTGATCCACAGTTGGTGGTGGATCAAATTGGTGATAATCTCAGGTGGCTATTGCAGCTGGTCGCCCATCAGGACAAGGGGTGGTTGCAGTTATACACCTTGGGTTCTGTTGGGACAGGAAAAGGAATCTGGAATGATCACCTGGCTTTCATTTTTCTATCACTCTGCCAACAGAAGGGGGCAGTGTAGGAAGTTCTCCCTGTCTCAGCCCCAAGGGACCCCGTGGAGACCCATAAAGGAACTAGTGACCAATGTTAGCAAGCACTAACATTGACAAACCACCAATAGACAAGCGTGGGCAGGCACTCCAGGACTCTGCAGGATTCAGTGGCTGTCTCAGCACTTCCCTTCTTCTCTGGAGGCTGACATTCAAACCCAGAGGACAATGTGCCATTCTGGCCTGGAGGTCACTCACTGCTCTGTCCCTCTGTATGTGTGACTTTGTACAAGCCTCCTGGCCTTTTCTGAGCCTGCATTTCCCTCCCCTGCTATGCTCCAGCAAAAATATCCAGAGACCCAGCTTTTAGGAAGACCCCCATGTGCCCAGTGGTCATACATCTGCCTTGCCAAGCTTGCCCATGGCTCCAGGCACCTGAAGATCAGCCTGTGTCCCCAGCGAACTGTTTGTCCTGGCCAGGACTCAGGGTATGTGGGATCCTCTCCTAAATAATGCATTAGCTGGTGTCTGGGCTTTGTAAACAGAGCAGCCCCGACAGCAGACATTTGTGAGCTATTAACTCAGAAGAGAGGGCAAACGGGCTTGAAGCAGATCAATAGACATGGGCCAGCAAGGAGCAAAACCTTACCTGCCTTTTATCCTGGTGCTCTTCCACTGTGTAACTTTGTCACCAGGCAACAAGAGTCTTGGGACTTGGAGTTAATTAGCATAGTCTTGACGCCAGTCTACAAAGTGAAAGGACACAAGGCTGAGAGTGTCTCCAGGATACTAGTCTCCCAGGGAGAGGAAACCTGATCTGTGACCCTAACCTATGGCTTCCACAGCTGGGCAGTGTGAGGAAAGAGGGTAGGGTTTCCAACAAAGAGGCTTTTCATGGCAACCACCCCAGCAGACACTGAACAGTCCACATAGCACCCGTTAAGGGGCACCATCTGCAGTAGCATTCAGCCCTATGAGCTATCATTCGGTTTCCTTCTTATTTCCCATGTATTTGTGGGTTTTCCTGTTCTTCTGTTGTGGGGAGGGCTGTTTTTTCTATGTTTATTTACTTTCATTTATTTATTTTTCTTGCAGCTTTGTTTTTCTTTTCACCCGACTGGATCAAAGCACCCTCAGTGCTCATGAGGTCACACAAGTGTGCAATCACTCTCTGTCAGCTGTTCTCAGCAAATGTTGTTGTGCTGCCCCTGGGATCTGTATCTTGAACTAATGCACTGAGCCAAGCATGGCGTCTCCTGGTGGTGCCGCTGTGACACCATCCAGGAGTAAGGCTGCAGTTCCTATACTTGTGTGTTTATTGGCTTTGTTTTCCAACTTGTATTTTCCTTTAGCTCAGTGATTCTCAACCTTCCTAATGCTGAGAACCTTTAATACAGTTCCTCATGCTGTGGTGACCGCCACAACCATAAAATTATTTCCATTGCTACTTCATAGCAGTAACTTTGTTACTGCTATGAATCATAATGTAAATATCTCTGTGTTCTGATGGTCTAAGGCAACCACTGTGAAAGGGTTTTTCAAACCCAAAGGAGTTGTGATCCACAGGTTGAAAACCTCTGCTTTAGATCAAATTTCTCATATTTAAGAAAACCAGTCAAACAATAAGTATTAGTGTTATTCTGCAAATAAGAAAATGACATTGTAGGAATGACATGAAAAATAAAAATTAACATTGTAGATTCCTCTAACTGAGCATGAATTAGAAAAGAAAGTGAATGGCTATCAATTAAGTAAATATTTTAAAATCCATAAATAGTCCAAGCAATAAAAACTTTGGAAAGTATAGAGGAACAAAATGAACTAATTTTAAAAATATAAAGAAAATTCAACATTAAATAAAGATCTTGATGGCATGATGCTATTTTATGTTTTAGCCAAAAGATAAAGATAATATAAAATACATCACTAAATTTATACAATAAATTATTCAATTAAAAATATAATTAGAAAAAGTTTTAAATACTCAAAATTTTGCTGCAGTGCATATTTATAATCTGAATATATATCCACATATACTAATACTTAAGTTAGAATAATTTAAAATTCAGATAAGTAAAAACACAAACTCATTAATTTTCAGGAAAGAAGATATACAAAAAGAAAAAAATATCTTTAAAGTACTGATATGTAAAGTCTTATGGAAAGGAAAGCCAGGTGTAACTCTGGCAGCTGGAAGTTGTAGATGTTGTGAAATACGCATTATCTTCACTTATGATGAGAAAATTGTCCTTAGTGAAAAAAATCAGACAACAGATGAGACATCCACATAATCTGGACCAGGTTGGACAGCCATCAAATAGTATTATTAGGTCTAGAACTGTACATAAAGTGTGCGTGCTAGGGAGGTAGCAGAGGAAGCCGTGAGAAAGACCAACAGGTGGTTAATCAAAGGGACAGTCTCAACTTTGAAAAAATAGACATACTGGATTTGTGGGTTTTTTTTCCTTTTTCTTCTTTTTTAAAGACAGAGTCTAACTCTGTTGCCCAGAGTCGCCTCAAACTCTGTGATCTTCCTGGTTGCCTCAAACTCTGTGATCTTCCTGCCTCAGCCTTCCCCATACTGGGTTTATATGTGTGAGCCACTATGCCAAGCTCTCTTCATTGGTTTCTAGTGATCTGTTACCAGAATCTGAAAATTGGGTTCAGGATGACCTGAATTTGCTCTGGGGGCTCAAACAACAAGGCAACTTGGAAGGTAGGTTTCCAATGCCAGCCTCATGGCAGGCACTGTCCCAGCACCTTTTAGCACATTCTTTTCCTATTGAGAGAACCTTACTGGGCCAAGAACTGTGCAAGACACAGGCTTCCCTGTCCTGAGATACACAACAAACCCACCAGCAGAGATGTGGTTCTAGTTTGCTGAAATTAGCAAATTTTCTTCATTGTGGATTTGTGTAGTTTTTAAAAATGAGTTAGCTTGAGAATTGGATCTCCAAGTTCCTTATCAAGCCATCCTATCATGTTTCACAACTGCTTTGTAAAAGACAAAGCATCATGGGAGGCATTGGAGACTCAGAGGTTGGGCATGGAGATGTTTTTGCTTTGACTCAGAAGCCCATGTTAAACTTTGGGCTCTCCTTGAATGTCTTCCAAGTTGGGGCTAGACCTAGCCTCAATAGTCCCAGAGGTAGAAGCTTGGGAGAAGACTCCAGATCCCCATTCTGGATGGAGAGGATACAGATTCCAGGCAGGCAAGTATCTAGCAGAAAACTCTTGATCTGAGGACTAACCCACCACCTCTGAAGGCCCAACTCTAGGTAGCTCTGTCGAGCCCTCTAAAGAAAATGTAATTTCTTGGAATACAGCTGGGTAACACTACCACCCTTCGGGAAGATGGGTTTCCAAGTGCTGTTGGGAAGCTGCTCTGGTGGAGCTCTCCCAAGCAAGCAGAGTCAAAGCACAATCGTGAAGCAAATCCAGAGCCCTTTTGGTCTGGAAGGCCCCCAAGATAACACAAATGGAGAAAGTCTGGGTAGAAATCTCTTCAGAATAAAGGAGAATTTGAAGTGGATCCAGCTTGTAGCTCATGAGAGATTGCTCTTTCATCTTTGAAAGTCATCCAGAAGACAGTGAACATTGATGTCTAGGGATGGAGAGGAGATAGATGGGGTGTCTTCTGTGGGGGCCAGGCTAGGCCACCTTCAGGCTAGACAAGGTCATACTCCCTCATCTTCATTGAGTCCTTCTGTTCTTCTAAATTCAGCTCCAAGTGGCCCAAGGGCCCAGACTCATGATTGGTAACTCCATTCAGACTCCGAGAACTGGTTGTGCATTGTTCTGGAATCACTTAGAAGGGTATCAGCAGGATGGAGCCAGTCTTCATCAGAAAGCAGGTCCTCACTCTTGCAACCACACTCTTCTTCCTTCTGGATTAGAAAAAAGTCTGTGCTTGACCAATGCCAGTATCAGTTAGTATCCTGTGAGGAAGCCTGTGCCCACACTTGCTCTCCACACTCCTGTGTAAATGCGGCTAGTGTGTTGGAAGTATATGGTACGAAAGGTTCAGATATTCTGCTGCCTGTGGTGATATGTTATTTATGATTTTTTAAAGTTTGCCTGAGGATTCAGAAAATCTAAGTCAGCCTCAAGCTATATAGGTCAGGCAGTGGTAACACACACCCTTAATTCCAGCAGTCGGATGCTAGGACATGGTGGCACACACCTTTAATCCTGGGATTTAGGATTAAGAGGTACAGGGATCTCTGTGAGTCCAAGGCCACCCAGATCTACACAAGAGTGAATCAGCCTAAAAGAGAATTATAGCTCACACCTTTAATCTCAACATTAGGGAGTTATATAAGACAGAAGCAAGGTCTCAGAGAGGCATTCATTCTCCAGCCACACTGACGATAGGAACACTCAGTCTCCAGCCAGGCTGAGGAGAGCTGGAGGTAAGGATTAGTGATTGGCTGTTTTGCTTTTCTGACCTTCAGCTTGAAGTTTGAATCCCAATATCAGTCTCTGAGTCCTTTTATTTATTCGTGCTACAGGTGTCCCTGCTGGGCCTCTTAGTCAAATGGTATAGAATGAATGAATCCAGGTTTTCTCATCTCCAAAGTCACAACTTTTCCCATCACTGCTTCTCCCAAAACTCAGGATGGCTTTAGAAAGTCAAGAGCCACCTCTGACATCTTATTTGCTCTCAAACACACTTGATTATGATAGATAGTGCAGTTTATTAGTTAAAGAAATGATTTCTATTAATCACCAGGCATGGGTAACAGTTCCATGAACTATTTCAAGAGATAGACTTACTTTTACAATATATGACTGAGAAATAACATGTTTAAAAGCAGAACTCACTTTTGGTTAGATGTCATATCACCATTGGTAATGGCGATCTTATCTGATGGATATGATAAGAAATCATGGATCTTCCTTGGAGCTCATAGCCGATGATCTGGAGGGTGGGATAGGAAAGACCCTTCTTCTCTCCAACATCATTCCACCTGAGAGAAACCTCACAAATGACCACAGGCGGAGTTCTAGAATGTTTTCTGAAAGGAATGATGGCAGAGGCTCCTCCATTGCCTGCTCTCTGAAAGACCATATTTTGCCCCGAACGTCTCACTCTTCTTTCCCATTAAGAATAAAAAGTAAAGTTGGAAGGCTTGAGCATACCAGGTCCACATGCTTATGACTCTGGAAGTCTCAAAACATCCAGGAATATTCCTGAGGGTTCCAAGTAGCATCCCTCATTGTTACTAGTCTATCTCTGCTCTCTTTTATAGTCTCAGGGAAGCCTGTCCTCCAGGAAGAGATGAGGGCAGGTGAGGAGGGTGAAGGCAGTGTCAGAGACAGAACCTGACAACCAAAAGAGGCTTCACATGAAGCTCTGCAGTAGGTCAGTAAACTCGAGAATGCTTTGCCCCAGTGTTGCTTGTTTTCTTGGAGAAAATGGACCAAACAGAAGAGGTGAATTCCATCCTGGGAACTGCACCCTTGTAGAAAGTCTACCAAGGGAAAAACAGAATGCAGAGGGGTGGGTACTCATGGCAGATGAAGTTGTGGTGGGGTTCTAATGGGAAGATGAGGAGGTGCTGTTTCTGACAGGGGACTTGGTGGCGTCAAGGCCTGTTCCAGCTGAGGTCGGGGGTGGCTGGAAGGAGTAGCATGGCATGTAGCATGTGTGGGGTTGGCATTTATGACCTGTCCATCCGAGGATGGGCAGTTCCAGAAGATGTGATGTCTTTGGCTTGATGGAGTGTCTTGAGCAGAAACCTGATCTTGAGGTTGGAATGGAACACTCATGGATGACATGGAGGAAACGGGCGACAAAGGAATGAAGTGACAGCAATGAGGCTGAAGAACTGAGCTTTCCAGGGCCAGGGCTCCATCCCCATACCTTTCCCAACACTGTGTTTTGATGGACTTTTCAGTGCATTCTTGGAGCTAGGCCAGCTACTGCTATCTCCTTGCTTCACTTCGTATGTCTTAATTGC